AGACAGGGCAGGGCTTCCGAGAGAGGGAAGCGGGGACAAATGGAGAATATCTGGGACTGGCCTTTAGCGTTCAAGCCAAAGAATTGAAACATAACTCTGGAAGGAATAAGAAACAGAAGGTTTGAAATAACACAGTAACATGGCCTGAATCTGGACAGCACACCATAGCAGTCTGTATTTGAGTGGCCCGTGAGCTACAAGTCATTTTCATTTTCTGTTTCTGCAGCACTGGGATGGAACCCAGTGCCCTGTGCAGACTAGGAAAGTGCTCTCCTGTGGAGCTACATCCTGAACCCCCTTTCTTAGGGTCTCACTAAGTGTCGAGGCTGGCTTCAAACTTGCGGTGCTCCTACCTCAGCCTCCTGAGCATCTGGGATTACAGGTGTGCCCCACTACTCCTGGCTACAAATGACTTTTACATATCTGAAAGGACTGGAAAGAAAGGAAGAGCAGAGAGATGGACAGAGGGACTTACAGAAGATGTGACATAGAATGTATTGCCTAGAAAGCCTAAAATATTTACTATCTGGCTTTTTACCAATAGTATTTGTCAAGTCCTAAGATAGCTATAGAAAGACAAACCACTACCAATTCATTGACTGTTTATTTTATACCAAGTTTTAGTGTCCATTATCTTTAATTCTCACAATTCAGTGACTTGTCCAGCCCCCAGCTCAGTGCATGAACTGGGATCTGGCCCAGGGAGGCTGGCTCCGAGGCCCGTGCCCTCCCCTCACAGATGGAGCAGAAGTGGAGTGAGGCGGGGCACAGGGACGCAGCTGTGAGGCCTTGTGGCCCTGAAAGGCAGGCGCAGTGCAGTGTGCATGAGGTGTGATGGTGCAAATAGACTGCAGGGAAAGAGAAATGGGAAGTCTGCGGGGTTTGATGTAAACTGAGGCACCGGAAGAGTCACGTCTGCACGCATTATCTTCCTTGAGACTTTCTCCTCCTGAGCTCCTCCCCAGGCTCTCTGCTGGTGCTTTATCATCACTGATTTGTGACTTGGGAACAAAGCGTCCTGGAGTAGTGATGAGGACAGTGGGTCTTCAGCTCTGGACCTGCCTTGAGCCTAGGCACATGTGCTTACACGGCAGGCCCTCACTGACATCAGCTTGCACCCAAGCTGGGGACCCTCTGTAGGAACTGGGATGTGCAGTACCAGTGGCTGTGGATTTTGGTAGAGCCTTCTGAGACTTCAATCTGGCAACTATGATATTGCCTTTGCCCCAACAATCCTAAGTTTGGAAAGATATCCTAAAAACATAAACAGAAAGGAGACCTCTAGCTACTTACCTACCTATGTTCCTACTTAGCCATCGAATTATTTATTGCAGTGTTACTTAAGAAGTAGACTCCTAGCAATGTAAACAGCTGGTTGGAAAATGGTTGGGTAAGTTTTCTACCCAAAGAAAAGTCAGGTGACCATTAAAAATAAAAAGGAAAGACTATGTAGCAACAAGGAAAAATATAGCACTGATTGGTTTGCCTGAAAATAAGTGGGAAGGTGCATGGATATTTCCAGTAAGGATTATATGCAGCTGAAATCAGCATTAGCCTTAACTAAGGTGGTGCATACTTTTATAGTTTGCTTTCTTACATCATCTTTAGTCAAAAGGAAGAATGGCCAGGCTGCCACTATAGCCGAGATGAGTTTGTGCCATCAGTATTTCCCCTTTAGGGCTGAAGAATACCGGGGGACAAGGAATGGACATTTTGTTGCTTTGGGGTTTTGTCTGCCCAGCCTCTACTTTTCTGTCTTGGTACTATCAGTCTGATTTTCCTTTGAGGAACCATCCTTACCTCATCCCTGGGTCTCTGTGTCTAGGGATATGACCTAGATTTTGCCAAAGCAACTGCTATCTCATCTGACCACAGTGATTCTTTTAAAGCTTTGTCACCCAGACATGCAGGCCAGGTATGGGGATTGTGCTGACCTAATTGTGAAAGAAGGACTCTGCAAATATGCTAAGCCAGAAGAATATGAATTTGGCTATGCACAGGGTCTTCCAGTGTTGGCACATTGAGACATAGAAGCTTGATAATGCAATCAAAACTGAAGGTGCTGAGGTGTGGAGGGCTGAGAGAGGGAGAAGGAAAGGGAGGTTAGGAGGGAAGGTGAGAAAATAATGACATTATTTGAAGCCGTTTGCCCAGCTTTTCCTCATATACTCACCCAGTGAACTTCTTGGTTATTTGACCCAATAGTTTTTCTCTTCTCCCTGTTCCTCTCACCTTTTCTCCTTTTAAAATGCACAGCATAAGAGGAAGTGAGTTCCACCCGGTTCAGTGGGAAATGCTTTGTAACCTTGCATGAGCCCTGGGAAGGCAAGTACATTTTGCACATGCTTAAGGCTTGGCTGGCAAGATAGTTACTGTCAAAGAAGAAAGATGGGGAAACTTTGGGAGTTTTCACTGGTTGGGGAGGGTGACAAAATCAGGATGGATGAAACATGGAAGTAACTTAAAAGTGCAAGTAACTCACAGCCAGCCTCAGAACCCAGATGCAAATCATCAGCAGGCTGGTGCAGTGTTTGGGTGGCTGATCTCTTTTCATGGTTCTTCCTGCATAATTATTGTTCTGTGTGCTTTGGAAAATTCCTTTGTACATTGAGTTCCAGGCTATTTCTCATCTTTTATTTGGCTGCTCTTTACCTTTGTATTCCAGAGTCCCTGTCTGACTGGTTAATACTAAGGATTTGTGTGCTGCTGAAATCAGTTGCTAAACATCAAAGAGTTCTGTGCATATGTAATAAAGATGTACTGGAGGGCGATTATGATTCGAATTTTCAAATCTGTGAGACTAAGCTCTCTGCATAAAATGGTTGAGAATGTGACTTCTCTACATCTGTTCCATCGGGTGGGGGATGATGTGTAGGCTCAGATAGGAACACCTGAATCCTCCTGAGTCCTGTGAGGAAAAAACTCAAGTTCCTAAAAGTGAATGTAGCTAGTCAAAAGCCCCCCTAATATGTTGCGCTCTTGCTGCTGTTCTCAGGGCTAGTCCCCCTGTCTGTGGTCTGCTACTGTGTATATTTGGGCTAGAATGTCAGCCTTTGAAGACTGTTTTGCCCAGAACACTAGACGGAAGGCAGGAGAAGGCAGGACCCCCTTCCTGCTTCTAGCTTCTGTCAGTTTCCCTCTAGCAGTAGTGAGCAGCCACTGATCAGAGCCTTTCAGCCTTCCCGTAGCCTCCTGTGTGGCGTCTCTTATGGCCCTGTACCAGCATCTGATACTTTTGGTGGGCCTGGCATTACTGGGGCCTCCCTGTGGCATGTCCCAGAGTTGTAACCCATCCTCTGTGGCCGGGTTCCTCTAGCTCTGGTTTCTCCTCCATCCTTGACTGCTCTCTACTGATGTCCGGATTGCCCAAGGCCTCTGCTTCCACGGTGCTCCCGCTGGGGCCAGTTTCCCATAACAAATTTCCCTTCCGAAATACCCGAAGTGGTGAGTTTTCCTGACTACTGTACCTAATAAATATCTTAAGTGTATGTGCCCGAGACCTAGGAGCCTCTGGGGAAAGTACGCATGAAAAAAAAAGATAGGTTTTTTTCAATCATTCGTTACAAAATATTCTTAAAATATTTTGGATCAAATTTTAAGAACACACATTACTCACCATTGACAACCAGTTGTACTTATAATGCTGATGGCTTTGTTGCTATTGCTCCTGGTGTTTCTTATGATTTCTTTTTAAACATATATTTAGGACCTTTTGCCCATTGCTTCCTTACAGACAATAGCAGTTGAGTGGTCTGAGTAGCTGGCCGTTGAAGCATTTTGGCCGCCTCTATCCTAACTTAGCAGAGCTAACTGAAGCTAACTATCAAAGGCTTTATCACGGGTAAACTTGTCAGACAAGAACTTTTGCGCACATCTTGCCCACTCCCTGCCTTGGGTAACTCCTATTAGTTCCTTTGGTACTTTGCTGTGTTGTCATCCCTAGAAAACTCTTGTAGCGAATGCCTCCTCAAGAGTGGTATTGTGGGATAGAAATCCCAGGACACAGACTTTGGGATGGTGGTGAACAGGGAGGAGTTTAATGGAGCGTGCTCTTGGGAACCACACCTACAAAAGAGCAAAAAAAAGAAAAAAAACACCGGGTGAGGGGAAACGTTGAACGGCAGTGCAGTTGGCAAGGCAGTCTCAACCAGCCCTTGGGGCCATGGTGCTGAGACAGTGCTTCCCATAGATTTGAATGAGCTGTGGCTATGCCTGGGAAGAAAGCATGAACCTAGGTGAGGCAGCTTCCAGGGCCGCAGAGGGTAGAGAAACACAGCAGTCAGCTGGTAAGAGCTGCTTAAGGAAGGTCAGGGTGCCGCACCACAGAGGGTGGTCCCCTGCGTGACCTTAGGGCCCACAACCCTTACTTTTAAGTACACATCATGGTGCATTATGAGTGTGTTTACGTGTCAGTCTGAGACTGGCTTCCAGCATTCATTAAAAACATGGTACACAGTAGGCATCTGATTAATACTGAATTTAGCATAGGAAAGGTGTTTACTTCTAGTGATTGCAGTATCCAGGGATTTAATGGGTTATATTCTCCTCTAAAAATGGAGATAAAACAATCATGTTTTTGGTTTCAGTCTGGAGAAATTATGTGACTTAGGCTGTGGAGTAATACCACAGAGGACACATTTTGGGCAAAATTTCAGGGCTTAAGTTATGCCAAGTGAATTGACTATAAACAGCACCGTGAAGCATAGGTTGTGAACAACACTGCCCAGGACCCTGTCTGTGTTGTTTTCCTACAGCCACTCTGTAGTCCTAGATATGATCCAGAGCTGGTACCCAGTGTAAGCGCTGGTTTAGATGCTGCTGCTTCCAGCTGTCCCCAAAAGTCAGGGGGCTGGGGATTTAGCTCAGTGGCACAGCGCCTGCCTGGCAAGCGCGAGATTGTGAGTTTGATCCCTGGTACTGGAAAAAAACCAAAAAAAAGTCAGCAAGCCCTTGACCTTCCACGAGGGTCAGACAAGAAAAAAAGCGGAAAGGCAGCAACATCAACAGGAAATAAAACATTTTTATTGAATATCAGTGTAATATGTTAAGTCATTTTTAACAACAATCAGAAAACTACTGTGGAATTCACTACACAAAGTAAAACAAACTTTAAACCACCTCATCAAAAAATGAAGGTAAAATACAGCTAAAGTAGTTGGCTCGCGGGCCACGAGCCTTATGGCAGAAGAAGACACCCCAACATTTCTACAAGACACAGAGGAAACCCACACATAGAAACACTCAAGCAGGCAGTAAATATACACAAAGGCAACTAGGATCTTTCTAGGGCATCAGAGTCTAATACTTTACACAGCTTTGTCAGAAGGTACATGTGGCTTATCTGAGGATGAAACTTGGTCATAAAGCAGGTTCGGTCACCAGCTTGTGAAAGATGACATAGAATCCACTAATTTAATGGTGACAATCTCATGTTGGCAGTGTTGCAAGAGGATGTGTTAGTGGTACTGTAATGCAAGAAATAATGTCTGTTCCACAGCTTGAACCTGCTTGCTTGAAAGTGTTGTTTCATTGTGAACAATTTAAAGCTGAAGACAGTGAAATTAAATGTCAGTTCTTGGTATTTAAGGAAAAAGTCAACTCTCTCTCTTTGGTAGTTTGGTTCTTGAAATTGCAAACATTCTCCTCTGAATTTTGTATTCAAATCCATGGTTAATCTCCAGTATAACTTGAACATTTTCTATTACCTCTGTTTTTTAAAAAGTATGGACCATCATCAAAAAGAGATGTTACTCTCCCTTTGCCCTTGTGTCTACTCCATTTCTAAGACTTTGCTAGGATGGGGTTGCAGGTGAAAGGGCTTGCCTCTTCCTTGATGAGGAAAGAATAATGACAGATACTTTAGTTTTACTGGGAAACAGCCAACCCCATGTTTAAAGTCTACCATCAGCCCTTTTTGAATTCTCGAGTTTTTCTTTTAAACATGGAGTGTTGTCCTAAAGACAGAACATGAAGCCAATGCTTCGTTTTCCTCCACTGTATCTTGCTATATGTGAAGGTACGTGCTCATGTCAGAGCATCCGTCCTCTCTGTGGCCTAGAAGTTAAAATGAGTCACAGAAGCCAGCGGGAGAAAAGACTAGAAGCAGTGTGAGATAACAGGCTACCCTTCTGCAAAGTGGTTGTCTACATAATGGGGAAAATATGGAGTATTGCACAGTGCTTGACAAAATGCTGTGTGTTCCACCCCAGTCTATGCGTCTTTCTTGTTCTATGCATAGCTCTTCAGTTCTGAATTGGTCCTTTGTAATAAGAACTGTTTGTGCTACACACACCTTGGGCAGTGCAGTAGAAGGGAATGGCAGTATTGTTACAATATCACTACGTAATAAACTGAGTGCTATCCACTGAGGAAACTACGTGTCTAAGCACACACGGCAGTCACAGTGTTACACAGAGCAGTCCTTTAAGACTTATGGAATGACTAGTAGCTTTGTAATAGTGCCAGTTACTACATAATAACATTGAAAACATTTAAAAACTCCTCCTCACTCGAGCATCTAGTGTACATAAGAGGTTGCTTCAGTTTTCTAGAACTTGTTCTTAGTTTTGTTTCACCTTTGTTTAAAGGACAAATTAAAACTTATTTAAGTAAAAAGAGCATATAAAAAAGATCACCAGCTGTCTGTTTTGGCTTAATTGAAGTGCATTCAGAACTATGGCTAATTGATTTTATTTTTTTTTTCTTCATCTTGTGATGGGATTACAATACTGTCTGTTTACCACAAAGTAATTTTGTGTATAAGCACAGATTGCTGTGTTAAAAATATTCTGCATTCCTTCTATCTGGTTTTGTATAATAAAATATTTTGTTACAAAGTCTACTGTGCAAACCTTTTGGAATTGTATGGATGTGAAATCTGGAACAGAATTCACAGGATACACATTTTGTATAAAGGTGATAACGGAGAGCTTTTTTTTTCCTTTTTAAATAGTCAGGCAGTATTTCAGAAATGCTGACTTCTGCCCTCTGCTCCTCCTCCCCCACCCCATCCCCAAACAAACCAATGCAAACAACATGCATACACACGCACGCATACACTCATGCACATGTGCACACCATGGAACACCATCGTGTTGTTACTTTGTATATAATAGTCTGAATTCATTGACTCCTGTTCAGTTGCTTCCTCAAATGCAAGAGTGAGATCGTGAGCTTAGCTTTGCAGGTTTGCACACACAGATGCTGTTCTGGTTTGTGGCTATGCTTCCTTGAGGTCAGCTTTGATGCTGCTCAGATCATGCTGTTTTGCCTGTGAGAGAATTCTACAAAATTGGATTCACCCACAAAATATGTGGTGTAAGCATATCTTGGTACTCAAGTGATTCAATAGAAAGCTCAGATTTAAATTGTCCTTTAAGATGTCTGTTTAACCGTACTAGTGCCTTGCAAGTTGATATTTTTGCTGGAATGCAGATGATACTATATTTACCATATAATATATTATCAGCTCTCCTATATCTCAGTCAATTTACATAGTTTAAAATAGAACATCTTATTAAAAACATCTAGATATACACAGATTAGGAAACGCTTACAACATACAAATACACAAACTAGAAATAAATCTTTAGCATACTGATATATACAATGGTGAGATACAATAAATAATTTTGGTCATGCTCTATCTACACATCATATTGCTTAAAAGAAGAGTAGATTTGGAGGGCAGTGGTATGATGAAGGGCATAGGGGCTCTCTACACTTAAATCTGTGCAAATTAAAACAGGATTTGAAGTACCACTGAATTGTGTTAAGAATGCATGGCTGGAGAAATGAAAGGACCCATATTACTGAGGTATTTACAGATACTGGCTAAAGAGCACTATGTGGGCAAATGCAGAAAGGCTTCTTTTTCCCTTTACTTCTTGACGGCCAGCATGGCATCGACTTCCTCCTCTACCTGCAGGGTGTGCCACTGGGCGATGGGTCGCCTGGGGTTGGCCAGCATGTCTGACCAGTGCCGCAGCTCCGCGCCGGTGCTGTTGTAGCCCACAAAGACTTTGCCGATGGCATCGTTCTTGCCAATCTTGTCATAGTCCAAAACAGTTACCACCACTTGCACTTTCTGAAAAAGGGCACACAGGGAACATGAAACGTCTAGCTCTATAGTCCTAGGGGGAATTGGAAATAAGAAGAGTTGACCCCAACCACCAGAATGAGGCTGAAAATGACTTCAGTATGAAAACTTGGGTCCAGTCTTTATTTTTCCAGCACATCATTATCACCACCATCATCACTATCATCATCATTTTAATACTTACCTGTCAATTTTTGTTATATATTTCACGTTACCCTAAGGCTTTTATAAATGGACTGTCACAGTTATTTCTCATGGTAGATCCCATTCATATTGCCTCTGTACAGATAAAGATGCTAAGCTCAGAGAAGTTACATGACCTGTCTGAGCTTGCACAGGAATGAGCAGGTTGGTTTCCAGAGCTTGTGCTATAAACTATCATAGTGTGCTGTGTGGGGCAAATTGTGTTATTCTTCTTTCTTTCTTTCTTTCTTTCTTTCTTTCTTTCTTTCTTTCTTTCTTTCTTTCTTTCTTTCTTTCTTTCTTTCTTTCCTCTCTCTCTCTCTCTCTCTCTCTCTCTCTCTCTCTCTCCCTCTCTCTCTTTTTTTTTTTTTTTTTTACCCAGAATCAAACTCATGACCTTGCACCTGCCAGGCAGGCGCTGTGCCACTGAGCTATATCCTTGGCCCAAAAGTTTTAAAAAGTAGTAACTAAACAAAGTTTTTTAAAAATTCGATCATATAGTCTCTCAATAAACATCTGTTAAGCAATTACTGTCTATCTGGCATTGACATCAAATGGACAGAACCTTTTAGGCCACATGGGATTTGCCTCAGTGAGTTCATCAATTGTGAGGGTTTACTTAATAACTACATTTGCACTAACTGAACTGATGAAAGGAGACTCATATCACTGTGGTATAGAATATTTTTTAAAAGTACACTTCAGTTTTCTTTGTAGGTAATAAATTTGTTCAGTTTGCAGATGTGATGACGCCCGTTTAAAACCTGAGTGCAGAGATGGAGATTTTAAAACAAAGAGCAATGCATTTGTGGCCAGTTAAAGAAAACAGAAAACATAATTCTGAAAGGCAGGATCAGATGAATTTGCAGCTGTGTTATATTCCTTCCATGGACTTTGTACTCTGAGGACTGAATTCTTGTGCTAGTGGACTAAGACATGCCACTGACGCACACCTGCGGAACAGGGAAGCAGAACTCCAGAAGTGGAGTTTCAAATTTGAAATGCAACATACTGGCAAAGAGGGAGACCATCTTCATCGTGTGGGCTTTGGAGTGATTCTGTAGTTAGGAACGTCACCCACACACTGAGCGGTGTTTGGAACCAAGGACAAGATGGTACTTGATGCTTCAATCCTCAGAACTCGCCCCAAGCAAATTCATGAGGGAATGGGATGGCGGACGTTATGAACAAAGGTAACAGGGTGGGGTGAGCCTTGGTTATTCCACTGAGGAATAAATTGATAGCGGCATTCAACACAAAGGATCCTTGTAAAGACCCTGAGCTAACTTTTCAAGCTTCCTGTGTAGTTTTTCCTCCATTTCTTGTGTGAGGGTAATAACATTTCACATGACTTCGGAAATCAGATAGAAGGTAGATAATTTCATAATGCGAGGAGAGGGAAACCCTAAATCCTTGTTTAAGCAAGGGGTACACTCACTTATTTTTCCTAGGGAAGTGAAAGAGTAGGAAAGTGGCATTCTGGGAAAAAAAAATCCTAGAAGAAAAAATTGACTCACCGAGCAGAGAAAGGGTTCTAATCAAAGGAATTATTATTTCATGGCTAATAAATTCTACATTGGGCTCAGATTCTATCATCTCTAAGTTGCTGTCCCAGAAACTCAAAATTTGGCTCTGTAAATGTGCTTTACATTCAATATGTTTGTATTTTGTACAATATGTAGTCAGAAAAGGACATTACTTTTTAAAGGTATAGAATTGTAGCTTAAAGAAGAAAGTTTGCAATAGGATTTCTTTTGATATCAGTGTCCTGCTTTGTATTGTTTTGTGGAATTAAAAAAATAAAATACCAGGAAGAGTTAGTTTCCATAAGAATAAGGTCTGAGGACTTGAAAGAGTTCACTGAACAAATATTGTGAAATAAATTGTTGGAGAAAACTGATATCTGAGGGATTTTCCACTTGGTGCAAAAGAATGGATTCAAGGTTCAGGCTACTGAATGAACGATTGGGAGCAAGGAATCAGTGTCCTGCTACGCCATTTACTTATATAACAGCTGTTGAAAGTAAATAACTCTACATAATTTGTCACTGTGAGAAAAATGTGAGAAAGGTTATATAAAAACCATGAACCAATATGAGGAAGCTAGAGTTCCTGGTTATTTTTGGCCACTTAAAACTTCCTTATATAATGGAGAAGCTACTAACCACAGGTAATGGTTTAAATTTAATTCTAAGTAAGTTGAAATAAAATAATGTTGGAACTGAGGTATTCATTAGCTACCAGTAAGTACCATGTTGGGCAGTCTGGATTGTAACAAATTTCCATCATCTCAGAGTTCTATTGGACAATATTAGTTCATGTATTTTATGTTATTGTTTAATTCATTCTCTGAAGGAGATACACTAGCATTGTGAATAATAATAATGATGATGATAACTTTACTGTTCCTATGTGCTAGGGTGTCCCAATGATTTTATATACATAATCACATTTTGACATAAATTGTTATTGTTGGGCCAGGGATATAGCTCATTGGCACAGTGCCTGCCTGGCAAGCACAAGGTTGTGAGTTCGGTTCCCCAAAACACACACAAAGTTGTTATTGTCTTGTTTAATAAGTGAGGGAATTCTAACCTTTTGTTTGCTTATATATATAACTGAGTTATAATGGTAGGCATTATAAGGGTATTGCAAGGATCAAATGAAATTATACAGGTAAAATACTTAACTTGGCTGTAGGCACATACTATATAATACATCTTGCTAGTATGTATTAGCTTTTTATGTAATAAACATGTGCTTAATTTCCAAGATACTATATTCTAAGAAGAAATTTAAAATGCATGAAAACTATTTGTTGACTTTTGTTATTCTGGATCCTTAGAAGGTTCCATGTCACAGTTTTTATGTCCATTTTTCATTTCTCCTTCAAGTTATAGGTAAATATTTATATCACTGACAAGATGGACCCATAACAGTTATTTAACAAAATATACAAATAGTGGTGTTTTATGCATTTGACTCCCTGCTACCCACTGAAGACTACTGAGAAATAACCCATAGTTATCACATGTGAACTCTGAAGTCTTATGGTATAACTAGGGAGATGGCACAAAAACTTAAATATTGTTTTAAATCCCTACAACAAAAAATCATATATGATAATTGTGGCTACAGGTAGCATCTTATTTTGAACATGTTAACTACAAGATCTTTTAATGGGATACTTCCTATCATAATATTATTCTTTGTATTGTAGCATAAAAGATTTAAAGATTTATTTTTGCTAAACCATTTTTCACTGCAGACAGCCTTAAAATAAAATAGAGGGCAGCAGGGGCAACTCAGTGGCAGAGTGTTTGCTTAACTTGTACAAGGCCCTGGGTTTATACCTAGCATTTCGTTATGATTCTTTTTTTCTTTTTATACCAAGAAACAAACTCATGACCTTGTGCTTTCCAGGCAGGTGCTATGCCACTGAGCTATATCCTCAGCCCTATACCTAGCATCTCAAAAAAGGAAATAAAAAAGTTGAAATAGATTAGATATATTTAATAAAATACATAAGCTCTTAAATTTCTGGTGCAGGAGTCAGTGCTGCATATCATAACAAGTCTCTTTTAAGAAACACTCATCCATTCCAACTCAGACATAGGAAGCTGAATTTAAGCAATTAAAAAGAAATTAAGCCTAATTTTTCTATTGTCAATCATTTTTGATAAAGATTTAAGATGCTGAAGAGTTAACATCAACCAAAAATATTTCTGTTGTCACTCTTTTTTGCTCTAAAGATGCAATAAGAAGAATTACTTATTATAGTCTGGGAATAAATACTGGAAGCTCATCTTCTCTTCACTTTTAAACTTCAGAGTTGAACTCTTCGAGTTAGGAAAGTTGTTCCGTTTCTTTTCTTTTTTCTACCTTGTTTCTGCTCAGCAGAAGGCCAGCTGTCTTTAGCTGGTGAATCAGCACCTGCTGTGCTGTGCCTTCCTGGCGTCCTCCTGGAAGTGGTTCAGGCATCAGATGCGCTCGGGAATAAGAATGGCGGTGCTAATGAAAGCATGGGAGCTGGTAATTTACAAGCTCTGTGAATAATTCTGTGCTCTGAGGAGTGAAATTGGATGGGAGGACAAAGTTATGTCTGACTTTACCTGGATTTGCTCGAAAGGTACTTCAAAGCTGAACGACTCATTGTAGTAGGGGTTAAGTGTGTTCTTCTTAATTGTGGTCTTTTTCTTCTTCAGCCTCTTGCCGTTCTGCATCAGATGGATCTTCACATAAGGATCTGAAACACAGAAACAAATAATTTGAAGGGATTAGAGACATCGTTTAGATCATGTAACATATAAAGGACCAAGAATTTCCAAATGATAAATAATTACACAGGATAGATTCACTATCTTTTCTAAAATTTTGAGCCTTTTTGGTTGTGGGAATTCTTAAGTAACCTGTGGAACGTGTCTTTGCCGAGCTGTGCGAATATTTACTTTTGGATTTGAGAGCGAGAGCGGTAGTGTGATGCTAAACCAGATCTCTGGGGGGAAGAGTCTCAACATGGAACATTTGCAGATTTCTGTGGTATAAATATGCTCTCCATGACTGATTTTAAGCCACAAACAGTTTAACAGCTGGCTTGTAAATTCTCTGCAAACAACTGTTCGCTTTCGTGCGCCGGCTGAGCGCTTGGCTGCAGTGCACCACTGCTTGGGAATAAAATGCGATGGAGGGAGGACAAAGGAGTGATTTCTTTCATTCATTTATTCATTTACTCCACCAATGTTAATTGAATGCCTGAGATGTGAAGAGCACTGTTAGGCCCTGGGGATACAGGATCGTGAACACAGCAGACTTTCTCTGTCTTCACCACGGCACTTCAGGCTTGTGGAGGAATTAGTAGGTTGGTGAAGGAATGAAACACCTGTGAAAATAGAACAAGAGTGCTGTGCAAGAGAAGAGCAGAGTAGAGACCTAATAGAGACCACCAGGGCTGCTGCTGTGACTCACCAGGCAGGGATGAAATTATTTAATTGCTCAGGTGAGGCCTGTGTGAAAGTGACCTTTGACCTGGGACGTGAAGATTGAAGAAGGAGAAGTTGGCTCTGTGTGTGTGTGTGTGTGTGAGAGAGAGAGAGAGAGACAGACAGACAGTGCGAGTGCGGAATATTCCTAGGAAAGGGCTTCCTTCAGGCATTCAAGGAAAAGAGAATACACAGAGCTGAGGAGAAAAGGGGCAGAAGGACTCTCTGAGCACGTCCCCTGACGCCTCCCGAGGCCAAGGCAAAGCAGTAGGTACATCCCGGGAAGGTGAGGCAGTCCCACCTGCAGCTCCGGTACTGATGGACGAACCACATACTTTCAGATCACTAGGAACCACTGTGCAGAATGCCAAATAAAACTTCTCCGTTTTCTTAAACATTGTTGCATTTTATATGTAATCTATGTCCATTATATAACAACATCAAAAGGCAATGAAAAGAAAAAAAAAGAAAAAAGTGTGAAATCATTCAAACACCGATTGCCACGCCTCACAAATGTTCTCTCCTCTCTCCCATACCGTGGGTTCAGGACGGTGTAATCTAGTCTACTGCCCACATAAGTTTAAAAGAGAAAACTGAATATTTAAGAAAGGCTGTCTTTCTCTACTGCTCAGTTGTGAAGAACAGAAACTTTGCCTGCAGTATTCACTACATGCCTTCACTAAAACAGAGTCTGACACGTATCCAAATTTTTTGGAGGGTGGTGCTTGCACTGGAACCCAGGGCCTCACATACACTGAGCATAAACTCTACCACTGCACTATACCTCTAGCTCCATATTCTTGGCCCAGCCATTTGAAGTCTCAAAGATTGCTTCTCCATTTTTCATCTGCTCCCTGATGAGCTTTATTTTGAAGTCTTCCCGGGTTCTTCCACCGCATCGTCCTGGAGTCTAGTCCCTTCGCATATGGCCCTAATCCTTTGCTTAGCTCATTAGTAACTTTTTCTGAGACCTAAAACTTGTTCCTTTCTCCTGACTGTTGGCTGAGTCCTGTCAATGGAAATATTCCCATCCAGTTGTGAGTCACGTCTATGCTTTGACAACATAGAGATTTTTAAAGGCTAAGACCAACTTGCCTGCAAAATAAGACTCTGGATGGTTAAATTTGTTCATTTTAGAGACTGTGCTGCAGAGCAAATTGTTGCCAGCACACAGTTTTTTCCTGGCTCAGAAGTCCTGGTAATTGTAAGCACAATTATACGGAAATGATAAAGTAAGCTGTTGTAAGTCTCACTGACGTTGTTACTGCTTTTCCTGAATAGAGCTGCTAGATGCCATATGTGGCGTCTAAATATCCCTTAGGTTTTTGAAAGCATGTAAACAGCAAGGGGAAATATGCAAGCTACGTAATTGGGTGATTATCCTCGAGCACTCTATGTCTCTGTGGCTTGTGGATTCCTTCTATTCCCAAAGGCAAGCAGTCATGGAAAGCTTTATCATCTACGCACTGAGGACTCTTGATCGTCACCATTTAGACAATCCCCATTACCATCAAAACAGATGCAAGACTTGGGATACTTTCATCTCTTTCATTTGTTTAATTTGTCTGAAAACAACAGTCGGGACTTAAAAAAAACACTCTGTAGAAAAGAAGTTCTTTTTTCAGACGTCTGTCTAATTTCTAATGATGTATGGCTAACTCTTCTGAAAAATGATAACCTAGGATCAGAAAGAAGATGCTTCATTTCCAAGAAAATGTATATCTCTTCATGCCCTCATTTTGGGTCAGTTGAGGCTTATCACTTGGGTTTTTTTTTTTTTTTTTTTCTGTCGTTTTGAGACAAGGTCTTGCTATGCAGTTCAGGCTGGCCTTGATCTCACTTTGTAGCCCAGGCTGGTCTCAAACTTGCAGCAATCCTCCTGCCTCAGCCTCCCAAGTGCTGGGATTACAAACATGTGCCACCACGCCTAGCTATCATTTGGTTTTATCATTGACATGTCACTGCTGTCCTTCACACACTATTGTAAGCTTCTACTCCTGTTTTAAATAAAATTAGCTAGACTTTTATCTCCCATTTTTGTCATAATTGTTCTAATTGGGAAGATTTTTAGGACACTGGAATGAGATCACTCTTAAACTTTCATATGTTGATAAGCCTTTTTAATGTACCAAATCAAATTTTTGCTCCTAACGTTCACAATTATGGTAGGTGGAATAATAGCTCTTGCAAAAATATCACATTCTGATCCATGAAGCTGAGTGTATGCTACATGGCAAAAAGAAATTTGCAAATATGATTAGGGACTATGATATCATCCTAGCGTACCCAGGAGGCCCTAATCTAGTACACAGAAAGTCTTCCCTGACAGTGGTCAGAAAGAGATACTGCCATATAAGAAGAGCCAGAGACATGCTAGGTTTCTAGCTTTGCAGATGGAAGAAGGGGTCGTAACCTGGGGACTGTGCGTGACCTGTAACAGCTACAAAAGGCAAGGAAATGGATTCCCCAGAGGCCCTCCAGAATGGAATCCAGCCCTGCTAACGCTTTAATTTTATCCCAGTAAGACTTCTATCACACTTCTTTTAAGAGATCTAAGAATTAGTTAATTTTATAAAGAGACAGAAACTGTCTCTATTTGTTGTGTGTAGTATGATATTTGAAAATATATGTACATCATGGAGTTGCTAAATTGAGCTAATGAACATAAACATTATCTAACATATACTTTATGTGGTGGGAACAGTTAGTGCTGACACTCAGCAATCTTCAGCTAATATTCTTTCTTATTAGCTATGGTCACCATGTGTTACAATACACCTGCTGAGCTTCTTTCTCTTATCTAATGGCATGTGTCAGATTTTTCTAACTGGTAGAACTGTAAGATAATAAATATGTGTAATTTTAAGTCACTAAATTTTTAATAATTTATCATGACACCACACTAGAAAACTAATACAGCAAACAAATTTAAAGAGAAAAGTTCTGTTGTTTATCTAAAAGTGTGTGAGGATAACAGTCAAATTTAATGGGTATAGAAAATGATCTTTCAGAAAAAATTGATATTTTTTCCACTCTTATAGAAATGATTTTTCTGTTCATCAAACCAAAGTCTTGTTAATTAAAAAAAGAACAGAGAACATGGAGAGAACATGGAAGTCCAAAGGTAATGCTAATATACAGATTTTCAAGATCTATTGTAAAATAGTGAAATTAGATGAAATGAAATTGAAAAAGTTTTGGGTTTAAACTACTAATGTCCCTCTATATTTGTAAAAAACACACAGGCATGCACACACATCTATCTATCTATCTATCTATCTATCTATTTATCATCTATCTATCATCTATCTATCATCTGTCTTCATTTCCTTTAATTCTACCATAATCCCAGTGAGGATACTGAACCTAAGAAAAGGCGATTTTTTTTCCCCCAAGAACTCAAATCCAGGCCCTCTGTCAAAGCCTACTGTTTTTGGTGATGTGTTGGGGAGACAATTTAATATATAGCTTCTAAGTACTGTTTCTCGATGCAGACTAAGGTGGATCTTGGCTCTGCTACTGTCTAGCTGTGTGGTCTTGGGCAAGTTATTTACCTTTTCATGCCATAGTTTCTTCAAATGTAAAATGGTAAAAATGGTAATACCTAGCCCACAGATTTGTGAAGGGTAAGCTGAGTTACCATAAGGTAACTGCTTCAAAATGAGCCTGGGACATATTATTACTAATTATCATTATAATTTAGTGAAAGTGATAACATCTAAGGCAACATGTATGAGCCATACTCTCCAACTCACTTTGCTCAACTGCAGCCCACCCCTAGCGAGCGAGAAGTCTACTCATTTGCCCCAGGAGTAAGATAAACTCTTACAGTGTCAGTTTACATTTGGAAAGATGTATACCCACTCTAAGCAACTGGTTCATTAGTGATGGTTTTAATCATGTATGAGATAAAAGATAATTTCTTTCACTGCTGCCTGTATGAGGTAGTCTTGAAGTGTGAGATGAGAAAATACCTCAATATCCTGTGCTGTTTTCTCCCACTCATGACGTTAATAGATCAAATTATATGTAGCCAAAAAGTTCAGCTCAAAGTTGTAAGTGGAATCTTTTTACAGAGGCACTTGGATGGTGTGAATCAAAACCATGATTTATTGAGTCTTCTTGCAGATTCGGAGGCTAGCTGATGTTGACACACATATTATGTATGACATATCTACTTTCCTTACGCTGCCAGGGATGAAGGCATGGGGAAAAGGAATCTTTTGGCCTTCAGATTTGTGGTTATCAGGGGCAGGGCAATTAATAC